AATTATATAATTCCCTCAACTCATGACAGTATGAACAGTAGAGTTGGAGGAAACAGAACATCTAGCATTCAGCTTGTTTGGATTCATTCATTTGTTTAAGGAATTGTATAATATTAAACGCTTGACAACATGATCCTGGGAATCCAATTATATGAGGTTGGGAACTAAGTTTTGCAACTACTTTCGTAACATCACTCTTTTTGAACATGGTGGACTCAAACTTTGGTTATATGTGGATCTCAACGTGTCCTACAACAATGCACAAACGTGTTTGTTTTGAAAACGGAATAAATAAATTACTAGCATTTTTCCAAAATTAGTAAATTTCGAGGGCTTCTAAGAACATAAGCAAAAATGAAGCCGTTCGCGACCCAATTCATGCATGATCCGAAACTGTATGTGAATTGATAACTTGAATGTTCCTATTTCTTTAAACCTGGGCATTGTATATAATCTCCAATTTTGTTTGTGCCGAACAGGTTTGTTATGGTGGTATCTTTATTCGAATGGCCTAACGTTTCGGCGCGTTCGCCGTCCTCAGAGGCCTAAAAACGGGACAAAGCATCATCCATAGCACCAGATCATCAAATGTCTCTTCTAGCTTAGCTAGTTTCGACCTCTTTCCTAGTTCAATCCGCAAAAATCCTCAAAAACCGAAATGAACCAATCGTTTACACCACCGCTATGTGATGTGTCCGCGCCGGAAGAATATGACAGTACGACCGGAAATATGTGACAGAAGCGGACAATTGAGCTATACTTTGATGGGCAGATAGAGAGTTATCTACGAAAGGCGGATAAAGTCTATCTACCATCTATAGCTTACATAGTGCTACGAACGGCAGGAATTCAGTAGTGATGGACAAGCACTCGTTCTTGTTGTTCATTTCTGGACTCTTTGCCGAGATCCAGAATGCCTCCAACGCCTTTCTAGCCGAGATCTCGTTCTCGTGTGTCAAAATCGTGCATTTGATTTTGAAGTCCTTTCCATCATGTGAGTCATTCCTATGCCTGCCCAGTCCCCTACTCTGCCATATGGACATATTGTGCATTGTTCGGTTATACAAAGTCGATCATAGAGTCGATTTCGAACAAGTTGCTTTTTGATATTCGCATTTGGTATATTAATCAAAATGACGTCATCCAGCAACTGAGCGCGAGCAATGCATTGTTGGAAAGCAGAATTGATCTTATCTGAGAAGAAAGGGAGGCAAAGAGGAAGTTTTTGGGTTTGTCGAATGCGGTTATCGCGTGTATTTTTTAGTCGTGTTTGCGATGCGCAATAACCATTGCTGCGAGCGATTTCTGAGGCTAAGCATTTTGCTTCGCGGCGCTCATCCTCTCCCGAGCACACCATTTTTGCTGTCCTGAACATATTCTGAACTATAGCCCGCTTGGTGCTTACAGGATGTGCGGAATTCGCGTTAATGAGGATGTTTTTGCAACTATGCCTGCGATACCACTTCATTTTTGCAACGCCGTTGGTTAAGTTGACCAGTGTGTTCAAGTAGGGCAACTATCCTCCTCGTGGTTTCTCGCGCGTTAATTTGATGTATTCGGACTGTAAATTAAGAATCCTAAAACAGTCGTCCATTTCGGACTGGGGTCTAGTCACTAAACAGCAGTCATCGATGTATCGACGGTAGTACATCAATGGCATTCGACCAAGCACAGGTTCCTTGACTTTATTGATAAAACAAATTGCAAGAATCGGTGCTAGTCGCTGACCCATAGCGAGCCCGCGGATCTGGGAATCGTATCTTCCAGACCACCGAAAGATATTACATTTTAAACACTCGCTCACTAGGGTCATCAGTCGCAGCTTGCTAAGTCCAAACATATTGATAGTTCCGGCATGTTTAAATAACTCCGATAAAGCCTGCAAAGCTTGATGATTTTGGACATTTGTATAGAGTGAGACGACGTCAAATGACTCAATCACACTCTGCGAATCAAACTTTGCCCTTCGGATTTGTTGGACAAATTCTTGTGTGTTTGGTGAATGAGCCGGGATATGCGTTAATAGCTGGCTTAGAATTTTATTTAGAAACCACGATATTCGGTCGGAGGGGCCGCCCTTACTACTGATGATAGGTCTAATTTTGTAAGTTTCCGCTGACGTTGAGCGTATATCTGTCAAGGATAGTTTATGTGTCTTGATAAGTGAGTAAAAGACTGAACAAGAGGGACTTTCTATCTTAAGTCTTGCGATGAATCTTTCGTCAAAACCGGCAGATTTTGCTATGCAAGTCCATGCATCGTTGAGTCTTTTACATCGCGCATGATATTCTTTCTCAGTAACCGACTTGTATAGCGATGTGTCTGCGAGATGTGCTTCACTAATTTTGCGGTCTAGTGATAATTCGTAGTGGTACCAGTCCTAAACCGCAAAATTAGTGAAGCACATCTCGCAGACACATCGCTATACAAGTCGGTTACTGAGAAAGAATATCATGCGCGATGTAGAAGACTCAACGATGCATGGACTTGCATAGCAAAATCTGCCGGTTTTGACGAAACATCGCAAGACTTAAGATAGAAAGTCCCTCTTGTCCAGTCTTTTACTCACTTATCAAGACACATAAACTATCCTTGACAGATATACACTCAACGTCAGCGGAAACTTACAAAATTAGACCTATCATCAGTAGTAAGGGCGGCCCCTCCGACCGAATATCGTGGTTTCTAAATAAAATTCTAAGCCAGCTATTAACGCATATCCCGGCTCATTCACCAAACACACAAGAATTTGTCCAACAAATCCGAAGGGCAAAGTTTGATTCGCAGAGTGTGATTGAGTCATTTGACGTCGTCTCACTCTATACAAATGTCCAAAATCATCAAGCTTTGCAGGCTTTATCGGAGTTATTTAAACATGCCGGAACTATCAATATGTTTGGACTTAGCAAGCTGCGACTGATGAGTACTCTGCGTTGATACCACTGCTTTAATATCTTTCGGTGGTCTGGAAGATACGATTCCCAGATCCGCGGGCTCGCTATGGGTCAGCGACTAGCACCGATTCTTGCAATTTGTTTTATCAATAAAGTCAAGGAACCTGTGCTTGGTCGAATGCCATTGATGTACTACCGTCGATACATCGATGACTGCTGTTTAGTGACTAGACCCCAGTCCGAAATGGACGACTGTTTTAGGATTCTTAATTTACAGTCCGAATACATCAAATTAACGCGCGAGAAACCACGAGGAGGATAGTTGCCCTACTTGAACACACTGGTCAACTTAACCAACGGCGTTGCAAAAATGAAGTGGTATCGCAGGCATAGTTGCAAAAACATCCTCATTAACGCGAATTCCGCACATCCTGTAAGCACCAAGCGGGCTATAGTTCAGAATATGTTCAGGACAGCAAAAATGGTGTGCTCGGGAGAGGATGAGCGCCGCGAAGCAAAATGCTTAGCCTCAGAAATCGCTCGCAGCAATGGTTATTGCGCATCGCAAACACGACCAAAAAATACACGCGATAACCGCATTCGACAAACCCAAAAACTTCCTCTTTGCCTCCCTTTCTTCTCAGATAAGATCAATTCTGCTTTCCAACAATGCATTGCTCGCGCTCAGTTGCTGGATGACGTCATTTTGATTAATATACCAAATGCGAATATCAAAAAGCAACTTGTTCGAAATCGACTCTATGATCGACTTTGTATAACCGAACAATGCACAATATGTCCATATGGCAGAGTAGGGGACTGGGCAGGCATAGGAATGACTCACATGATGGAAAGGACTTCAAAATCAAATGCACGATTTTGACACACGAGAACGAGATCTCGGCTAGAAAGGTGTTGGAGGCATTCTGGATCTCGGCAAAGAGTCCAGAAATGAACAACAAGAACGAGTGCTTGTCCATCACTACCGAATTCCTGCCGTTCGTAGCACTATGTAAGCTATAGATGGTAGGCAGACTTTATCCGCCTTTCGTAGATAACTCTCTATCTGCCCATCAGAGTATACTCAATTGTCCGCTTCTGTCACATATTTCCGGTCGTACTGTCATATTCTTCCGGCGCGGACACATCACATAGCGGTGGTGTAAACGGTTGGTTCATTGCGGTTTTTGAGGATTTTTGCGGAACTAGGAAAGAGGTCGAAACTAGCTAAGCTAGAAGAGACATTTGATGGTCTGGTGCCATGGATGATGCTTTGTCCCGTTTTTAGGCCTCTGAGGACGGCGAACGCGCCGAAACGTTAGGCCATTCAAATAAAGATACCACCATAACAAACCTGTTCGGCACAAACAAAATTGGAGATTGTATGTGAATTATTGCTTGAGGTGGACTTATTTGGCTCAGTAGGAAAGGAATAGAGTGGAAAGAGAATTAGAGTTCTAGCGCCCTTACGAAGTTGAAGTACGTAAGGCTGTTGGGGACCACCAGTGACTAAGGAGTGGAAACCAAAAGCCAAAGCCGTCCGCGGAGACTTTACATAGTAAGATTATTCGACCTGCTACACAACTTTAACTCAAAAGTCGAATATCATATTAAGTCAAAAGAATTTACTTAACAGTCATACAACTCTAGAGTCTTTTGTATTATTTAAGGTGAGGCCACATACCGTAACACCGGTAATCTCACAAAAAACCCTTACCATGCAAATTCAGCATGTTATTCGTAATCAGCATGTCGGATCACCCCCCCCCCCTGCGCAAAGTTTCAGCCAAGTCCGTAATAATTTACAATTCCCCTTCATGCCATATACCTACCGTAATCTTACTGGGACTTTAGAATTTGGCGGAAAAGCAGCTATGCGTAGCTACATGATAAGCAACATGTTGACAAAATTTGAGTGCTTCATATATAATGAGAGCGTGATTATTTAGTAAGTTGGAAAACTTAGTTTCCAACCTAATACTGCAAAGGAAATTCAGTGCGCACTATTCCAAATCTTAGTATACATCTAGATTACCTGCTCATTTATCTTCGACTTCTATACCGCAATTTCAATGCCGTTACTTAAGTAGAAACAAAATTACTGGTATTACTAGCTCACCAGCAGATAATGAAACCGCGATTGCTGAAGTTGGGAAACATCTTTTTGACGAAATTACTTCTATCACTACTATATGAAATGTTTGTTGAATGACAGTGAAGAAAAGAAATCAATATCTTAAGCGCTCTCACATCAGACAGGTAGGCATCGCATCAGTAAGGCATAAAAGACATATAAGGAACGTGGTAAACGTGATGCACATAATACATAGGAGGTGGTGGAGGAGGAGGTGGCGGTGGAGGCAGATGATGAACGACGACTGTTTGAGCAACCTGCAAGTAATATAGATTACACCGAAATTTCAGTGTGCGGTTCTGACCGGATAAGATGCACCATATCCATATCCCATATACGGTACACTGTATCCATATCCTGGGTAGGATGTACCGTAGGAATATCCACTCCCGTAACTATATCCATATCCGTAACCGGGTCCATAACTATACGCATATCCACGCCGTTGCCTGGAAGCCTTACTCTTACTAGAAGCTTCGATGACTACATTAGTTTTATAACGTTGTGAATCCCCAATTATACAGTGCTGGACATAATTATACAGCCACTCTAGAAATCGTCGTAATTTTTGTTCTTGTCAATGAATCTGTCTGAAACTTTGCTGTATTGTGCTCATGTCAACCTACCATGACTCCTTAAAACGGCTTCCAGTCTTGCTGAATTTGAACGGAGAAAAATGAAAAAAATTCGAAAAAGTCCTCTTTGAAAGCTGGACAAAGCCACCTGGTTTTTCTGACCACTATCGCATTCGTTGACTCTCAAATTTTTTTGTAAATTAAATCCCGAAATATGACACATTTGCAACACCTACGGCCTGTCATCCTACTCAAATAGAAGCGATCACTGCACTTTTCGCTTTCAAAAGCTCCAAAAGTCAATCTGCTTTAACAAACAATTGGTTGAAGCTCCGATAGATATAGCGGCTAATCGTTTCGGCTTTTGTTTTTCAAACTTGCGCTTCTGACAGCATAAAAGTGGTTTTTAAAATTATGTCAGATTTTAGCTGAAATATTTTGTGATATCTGGCACGCTTCAGCTTTTAATGAAAACTTAATTACCGAAGTGAAAGTTTTTTTTTGGAAAAGCGCTTGACATACAGTAATCAGAACCAAGCACACCGCGAAAAACTTACCGATCTGGAGCCACATCAAAAACATACTACTGTTATATGTTTCCCTCATGCAAATATTTCCTCATTCCTCATGTTGATGAGAAAATATTTAATGTCTCCTCTCATTAGTAGCTACATTCGAAGGCTGTAATTCCTTTTAGGCCTTGGACAGCTCGGGCAGTCGGGATCAAATCGCGCGATTTCGTCGTCGCGATTTGATCCCGACAAGACAAATGTCCATTGCATGTCGACATCTTGCATCTCGGTTGTGATAGTTAGTCTTGTTGGAAAACTGTCACAAGCGAAATGCAAGAAGATTGTCATGCAATGATATTGTTACAGTTGCCTTGTCGCGATGAATAGCGACGACGAAGTCGCGTGAACTTTGCCTGAGGTCTTAGGCTGTTCGAGGTTTTTCTTTGGAAAATCTTCCACCAACATTTCTGTTAGCTTAGGTGCCAAAAGTTCATGGTTAGTCATGTGATGCTAACGAATTTCTTTTTATATGTAACGTTACCGTGCCCTGCCCAATTCATCTGCAAAGAGACTTACTACAGGCGATTTTCATTTTCGTAATTATCTGAAAGAGTAATGTGTTCTTTCACGTTTCGTCTTTTATGTGTTTGCTGTATGATCGATATTGATTTTATACATACAGGGCTTCAAGAGAAGTATCCAGCTACTAACCCTCTAGTTTTATCAGTTTTCGCTAATCTTCGGATATAGCAGACTTTCTATACCTTTTTATTATAGAAAATAGATCACTCATACATCTTCACTACCGTGGTGATGAGAGCTTTCTCCCAAGTTATTTTTTAGAAAGCTGGAAACTTTGTTACCATTTTAATTAATCTTGCTATATCCATGAATAAACTTTGGCTCCATCATGATCTTTAATCAGTTGTTACGACAGGCACTATGACAGCAGTTCCATTGATTATCAAAAAGCTCTTTTAAACCGCTATAAACCGCTCAAATCATCTAAAAAGTTATCCAATAGATTCCAAAAAGTGGATCCAAAAAATCCCGTTACAAACTTCTTGAAATTTTGAATTTTTGCTTAATTAACAGCTTTGTTATGATGATAATGTGCTAGAGGGTCCTTTCGTATACGCTAACAAAAAAAGATGGACTATCAACTTTTTTTTACTGTGAATCTAAGTTAAAACCAGCCTCAGTGTTAAGGCTGGGAAAGCTATTGTTTCAAGAGACTTATCAGCAGTCAAGTTGCCATACATGGTGGGGTCACCGTTATATACAGGGTGCTCCAAAAATGTACGCACTGTTTGATCGCTAATATCTCTCTTGCCTTGATATCCACTCTTGATCTCAATGTACCAATGTGTAGAGTGGCTCAGCCTTGCAAGACTTGTTAGATTTACAGCATAGAGCAAATGACGGAGCCTTTCGCTGCGGTAAGATAACGATAAGAATTTTAGCACAGATTCTTGTGAAACACGCAGTTTGAAAAATTATGCATACTTGCATGCGTAAATCAGTGGTTCAACAATTTTCAGTTTTGAAAATATTAGGTTGGCTAATAAAATAAGTTCGATTTAACATATTCGAAATTCTATAACAATTCAAGTAGCACCTATTCAGCAGTTTTTTTGAGAGGTAGCTATAAGCCTCTATTCTCACATATCAGATAGATGAAGTTTTTCGATATCAAAAAATGACAGTTATGTTTGTATGGCCAACCTTCCAAAAAAATCACTTTTCTGACTTTCCAAGTTTCCTCAGCTCTTAGCAAGAGCATAGGCAAGGTAACACAGACTTAATGATTGAATACGCACAACTTTTGGCTATATTGCGCACAACAATAGAGGTTGTGCTCTATTGTCTGCGAATTTTTGCGGCTAAAAATTGTGCTAATTTCTAGGTATTTGCGCGTAGCAGTCAATTTTGCGCAATTCAGAATACTTAATAGACCACCTACCACAATGGTCGGTCGCCTCATCGTGGCGTGGGGGTGACACTGGGTGTCGAACTGCGATGCACAGCCGAGTGTATACTCTGGTAGGGCCTCCCAAGTTGTGAAGGAGTTCGACGTTTCCGGTTTCAGCCGGATGCCTAGCTAAGAACTGGCCACGCCAGATCCTCCGCCGTCTGGCTTCTTCTGGTCGCTAGGGGTCCCTCCCCGCTCCAAGCCCGGGGTCAGCGATCGCCTCGTGGAAGTCAAGAGTAGGCCTAGTAAGCCACCTCTTGTAGGGGAAAATTCATATTACTCCTCCAGTTAGAAGATTAGAAAGAAACACTGCACATCGTATCCCGCCTACGGCGCCGGGTGGTAGCAAGAACGATGTCAGGGTACTCAGGGCGCCTTTCGGATTGGACAAAAACGACACGTCTGCCCGGACGACACGCCATGGAGACTGCCTCATGCTCTGCACCTACAACGCCAGGACAGTATCCACAAACGCCGACCTCCACGCTCTTCTCGACGCTGCAGAGCACATCAAGTACCACATCATCGCTCTGCAGGAAACGAAGTCCAGGAAGAAGGACGTGCGACAGATGAGTGATGGGACCCTCATCATTCGTGGTGAAAAGGTTCCATCACGAAACGTGGGAGGCGTCGGCTTTGGCGTCCACCCATCTATCGTCCATCTTGTCGATTCGCACGAGATCCTATCACCTCGACTAGACATCCTACGACTACGACCTCCACATCAGAAGACCATCAGCATCATCAACTGCTATTCTCCAACATCAGCAGCTGACGAGTCAGAACTAGATGCTCTCTATGAAGATGTGGAGGAGGTCGTCCGCAACGAGAAGTCCTTTTATAAGTTTGTTGTGGGCGACTTCAACGCGAAATCGGGATGCCACTGGAAAAGGAATATAGGATCGGGAAGTTTGGATATGGGCTCCGGAACGAAAACGGCAACCGTCTTGTTGGGCTTCTCTCCGCCGCACGACTTTTCCATAGAAATTCCATCTTTATGAAGAAAGAACATCGCCGGTGGACATGGGAATCGCCCAACGGAACGACCCACGCGAAGATCGACCACATTCTCACCAACCGAAGGTGGAGCTTGCTCGATATCTAAGTAGTTCCATCCTTCTGCAGTGGCTCCGATCACCGCCTCCTTCGAGCGAAGGTACGATTCAGTCGAAGGCTGGAAAAGAAGGTCTGCCACAGTGCCGCAAGAAGGAAGAATGTCGTTTATGACGGTAACAGGCTGGAAGAGCTCATATCAAGTTGTGACTGGCCCATAGAGGAGGACCCAACGTACGACTACGACCGGCTTCTGAAAGGATTGCGAGCCTGCGGAGAGTGCGCCTCAGTGACTTCCGAGAAGTATGTTGAACGCGTTTCGAAGACCACCAAGGAAATGCTTGAAAGAAGAAGATTTCTGAGGCAGGATCCGAATGCAACCCATCTCGAGCGACTGATAGCCAACGCCAGTTGCAGAACAGCTTTGCAGGAGGATCTCAGGAAGTACAGGCAAGCCAAGATACTCGAAGCAGCCGAAGGAAGACGAAGTCTTAAGAAGTGCCGAAGGGACCTCTGTGAATATCGCGTACTGCTGGCTGCAATATTGAACGAAGACGGGACTCTGACTTCTTCCCGATACAAGATGGAATCTATCGCGAAGAACTTCTATACCAACCTCTTCCGTTCATCAACACCCATGCCGATGCCCGTTGTTCCCACTGGAGAAGTACCACCACGAGTTCTACCTGCTGAAGTGCGCACAGCGATTCAGACCATGAAGACGTCCACGGCTCCAGGATCATCTTTCCGTCGAATTTCTGCGAGCTGGAGGACAACGTCTACACAAGATCCTCGCGTCGCACCTAACAACTTACCTTCAGAAGGAAAGGATTCCCGACCAGTGGAGAACATCAAGAACCGTCCTTCTTTTCAAGAAGGGTGAACGGGAAGATCTTCGGAACTACCGTCCAATATGCCTGCTGAGTGTGCTGTACAAGCTTTTCACGAAGATTATCCTCGCTCGCATATCTAGGACACTGGATGAAGCCCAACCCCAAGAGCAAGCTGGATTTCGCAAAGGATTCAGCTGCATGGACCACATCCAGACGGTTTCGAGGGTCATAGAAGTGCCGGGAATACTGACTGCCTCTCGTCCTAACCTTTGTCGACTACGAGAAAGCCTTTGACAGCGTCGAAACCAACGCCATCCTTTCTGCGCTAGTCGATCAAGGAGTAGACCCAGCTTACGTGAGGACGTTAGCCGACTGTTACAAGGACTGTACAACGGCTATGCAGCTATTCCATCGCCCCCTGACCATCCCAATTGGGAAGGGGGTTCGACAAGGCGACACAATTTCGCCGAAGCTGTTCACCGCGGCCTTGCAGTGGGTGATGAA